ATCAGCGACAACAGGGTACGGGCCCAGGGGGGCGTGGCCAAACCATTTCGTGACACACACACATGACACTGTCGCTGCGCGCCAGGCGCTCGCGTCAGCGGACGTTACGGGCCAGGGGGGCGTGGCCAAGCCATTTCCGATGACACAACACACATGAGCACCTGTTCAAGCCGCGCGCCGGCCGCTTCCGCGGTCCCAGCGAACGCCGGTTTACGGGCCCAGCGGGGGGCGTGCCGCCAAAACATTTCGTGACACACACACATGACACTGTTCGCTGCGCGCCGGCGCTCCGCGTCAAGCGACGGGTTACGGGCCCAGGGGGCGTGGCCAAACCATTTCGTGACCACACACACATTACCACTGTCGCGCGCGCCGCGCTCCGCTGTCAGCGGACGGGTTACGGGCCAGGGGGGCGTGGCCAAACCATGTCTGACACACACACATGACACTGTCGCTGCGCGCCGGCGCCTCCGCGTCAGCGACGGTTACGGCCCAGGGGGGCGTGGCAAACCATTTCGAGTGACACACACACATGACACTGTTCGCGCGCGGCGGCGCTCCGCGTTCCCCCAGCGAACGGCGTTACGCGGGCCCAGGGGGGACGTGGCCCAAAACCCATTTTCGTGACACACACACATGACCACTGCTCGCGCGCGCCGTCGCTCCGCGTCAGGCGACGGGTGACGGGCCCAGGGGGCGTGGCCAAACCATTTCGTGACACACACACATGACACTGTCGCGCGCCGCCGCGCCTCGCGTTCAAGCGACGGTTACGGGGCCCAGGGCGGGCGTGGCCAAACCATTTCGTGACACACACACATGACACTTGTCGCGCGCGCCGGCGCTCCGCGTCAGCGACGGGTTGACGGGCCCCAGGGGGGCGTGGCCAAACATTTCGTTGACACACACACATGACAACTGTCGCGCGCGCCGGCGCTCCGCGTCAGCGACGGGGTTACGGGCCAGGGGCGTGGCCAAACCATTTCGTGACACACACACATGACACTGTCGCGCGCGCCGGCGCTCGCGTCAGCGACGGGTTACGGGGCCCAGGGGGGCGTGGCCAAACCATTTCGTGAACACACACACATTGACACTGTCCGCGCGGCGCCGGCGCTCCGCGTCAGCGACGGTGGGCCCAGGGGGCTGGCCCAAAAAACCATTTGTGACACACACACATGACACTGTCGCGAGCGCCAAGCGCTCCGCGTCAGCGACGGTACGGGCCCAGGGGCGTTGGGCCAAACCATTTTCGTGACAACACACCACATGACACTGTTCGCGGCGCGGCCGCGCTCCGGCTCAGCGACGGGTTACGGGCCCAGGCGGGCGTGCCAAACCATCTTCGTGACACACACACATGGACACTGTCGCGGCGCGCCGGCGCTCCGCGTCAGCGACGGGTTTACGGGGCAAGGGGGCGTGGCCAAACCATTTCGTGGACCACACACACATGACCACTGTCGCGCGCGCCGGGCCGCTCCGCGTCAAGCGACGGGTTGACGGGCCCAGGGGGGCGTGGCCAAACCATTTTCGTGACACACACCAACATGACACTGTCGCGAGCGCCCAGCGTCCCGCGTCAGCGACGGGTACGGGCCCAGGGGGCGTGGCCAAACCATTCGTGAACACACACACATGACACTGTCGCGCGCGCCGGCGCTCCGCGCTCAAGCGACGGGTTACGGGCCCAGCGGGGGCGTGGCCAAACCATTTCGCTGACACACACACATGACACTGTCTGCGCGCGCGGCGACTGCCGCGTCAGCGGACGGGTTACGGGCCCAGGGGGCGTTTGCCAAACCATTTCGTGACACACACACATGAACACTGTCGCGAGCGCCAGCGCTACGCGTTCAGGCGACGGGTTACGGGCCCAGGGGGGCGTGGCCAAACCATTTCGTGGACACACAACATGACACTGTCGCGCGCGCCGGCGCTCCGCTGTCAGCGACGGGTTACGGGCCCAGGGGGCGTGGCCAAACCATTTCGTGACACACACACATGGACACTGTCGCGGCGCGCCGGCGCTCCGCGTCAGCGGACGGGTTACGGGCCCAGGAGGGGCGTGCCCAACCATTTCGTTGACACACAACACATGACACCCTGTCGCGCGCGCCGGCGCCTCCCGCAGTCAGGACGGTTTACGGGCCCAAGGGGGAGCGCGGCCAAACCATTTCGTGACCAATTGATTGACATTGATGCGATTCATTTACACCAAACAGATCGTTCCGTTTTCACTTTAAGGTTGAGTGAAGAAAATGTTACCGATAATACGGGTTATTTTAATTAAGGAAAAAAGTCAAAGGTTAGTTCCCACGACGCGCCGGTGTTTGTAAAAGTAAAACACTCTTTCGAGCCACAAAATAAAAAGGACCGTCAAGGGCTAAAACAGTTCTTAAAAAAAAATTAAAAAAATATCCGAAATGTGTAATTTTCTTTGCGCATCGTGTACATGGATGAATCACAATAATTTTTATAACATATTTAACGATCTCCATTGTGCTTTACAAACGTAACGATGCCTCTTTACGATTTCTTGTTCATGTGTGTACAAAAAATTGAAATGTAGCGACGTCATGTCAACTACCCCATTAACATATAATTATATAATATATATATATATATATATATATATATATATATATATATATATATATATAAAATATTCGTTCCAAATTCAATAGACCATGTCGTAAGCCAGAGTAATAGAAAAATACCAATTTTGGTGAAGTTATTGTTTACCATGAAGGCGATAGTGTTGTTACATACAGTCAGAAGCACGGAGGTAGTCAAACGGATGAAACGGTCAAATGGACAGAAAGAACTGGCGGACAGAGTGACAGACGGACAGAGTGACAGACGGAGCAGAGTGGGGACAGACGGACAGAGTGACAGACGGACAGAGTGACAGACGGACAGAGTGACAGGGACGGACAGAGTGACAGACGGACAGAGTGGACAGACGGACAGAGTGACAGACGGACAGAGTGACAGAACGGACAGGAGTACAGACGGACAGAGTGACAGACGGAGCAGAGTGACAGACGACAGATGACAGACGGACAGAGTGACAGACGGACAGAGTGACAGACGACAGAGTCGACAGACGGACAGGAGTGACAGACGGACAGAGTGACAGACGGACAGAGTGACAGACGGACAGAGTGATAGCGGACAGAGTGACATGAAACTAAATAGGATTGCGTACCTTGTTAATTTACATATCTTAATAAACCCATTTTGTGAAGGGACAACAAAACGAAGGGTTTAACCAAAATTTGGCACTTATTCTTGCAGCATAGCAATCCTTATTTCTACTTCGACACAGAAATTATATATTATTTACAATACTCTGTAAATAGAGTTAAGCTATGAGCGTTTTTTAAGAATGTCATATGAACGTTTGTTTTATTGCTCTGATTTTTTTGATAGGTGCTTTAGTTTTTCGTACTCGATACATAATTTAAACGAGAGATCCCACTTTGATTACCTGGCAAACAGTAATATCCAGAAACTGAGAATTCATTGACTAGGAAAGAAGTTTGAATGAGAAAATGGCGTAATCTGCCTTGCAAATTAACAACACATACCCCACACATTCCCACAATTAATTTGGGGCAAATAACTTGCTCTATTATTTCAATTAATTAATAATATTGTTTAAACAAAATTAAATTAATATTAAACAAAATAATATGTTTAAACAAATGAATAATATATTGAAACATAGTGTACAAACATTACTTTTTATTCGGTGATGACTTTACTCCAATCTGTACGCCTTTTAAAATGTCAACTGAATGATAGTAGCACATTATTAATTACAAATTAGTAAGTGATTTCCATATTATTGAATGTTTTTTATAACTATCGGTGTGATCAAAAATACACAATCAACGCATTTGCAGATTCAGTTAACAAACTTTACATTTTGAAAGATCACAAATTTTCTTTTTCCGACTTTCCTTTCAATTTTATCGGCTCCTTATTTTAAGAAGAACCGTTGTCAGAAAACTGAGAGTGATAATTGGTGTGTACACACTTCAAGGACAATTCAATTTTATACAAAGGAATAATAAAAGATAAACGTATTGTTTGTTTTTTATTTTTACGTGTGAAGAAGAATTAATTACGCGGGGAAGCTCATATAAAAACTATAAATTGACTTATTATTACCAACTTTGCATTATTCACCAACTTCTTACTAACTTTAAACTGTTCATTAAAGTTCAATGAAATAAACATTTGCTCTGTTTTGAAGCGCTATCTATGAAGAAATTTTAAAACTGGCGAGGAACCAGCTTTATCTTATTAATGTAATAGCAGTGACTATCAAATCTCATTTGTTAGTATTTTCTGACATTCTCATTATATATATGATATATATATATATATATATATTTATATAATATATATTATATATATATATATAAATTTTTGTCGTTAATTGCATACTAAAATGTTTCAGAATATGTCGACGTAATGTGATTTTTCTGTAATTAATAATAGAAAACAAACTGATGTAATACAAGTTTCCATAGTATTTATCCCAGTATTTTACTTAGTTGCACATTAGTTATTTACCACCTCATTTATTTACGCATGAAAAGGTATCACTTCAATTTGGAATGTAAAATGGAAGGAATTTTGTTTGTGTTAACGCCACTCCCTCTTCTGTGCTCTGTCCCGCTCTTCTTCTCCCTTTACCGCTCCACTGCCCCCCTTCGCTCCGGCCGACCGCTTGTTCCTCAAAAGCTCCATCCCGAATTCTCCATCCCGCGCCCTCTCTCTACGC